GGAAGGGGGGCGGAGGGGCCTTGAACTTTCCATGGAGAGAGGAATCCTAGCAGAAAGACGCTTAGGGCCCTTTCTCTGCAAAACCCCATCAGGGATCTCAAATCAGGTTCTTCTTTTGGAAAACAAGGTCCTTCTTGCTAACTCAGAACTGCGTCCACCCATTACATATTTTAGATGCTGAGTTCTCCAGAGTATGTAGAGAAGGACAAGCTGTAATATCATCAGGAGGTTCCCAAAATAAATGCAAAAGTATTCCCTATGAACTGGTAGAATGAGTGTTAATTCAGTTCCTATTTGAAGAGCAGCAGAAGGCAAGAGAAGGAGTTGGGGGAGCCAAAATAATCTTACAGTCCCTATGGATTGGAGATATAGGGATTGTAAGATTGGCTTGGACATGGAGAGGAAGGTTGTGAGGTTGAGCTCTCTCCCTCTGAGAGATGATCCTAACCTCCTCTCTACTATTTGCTAACTTTGCACCTGTTTCCATCTGCAAAATAAGGAAAGTGTGAGGTTATGGCAGAGATCTGTCCTAGGAAGGAGAAGTAAAAGTCAAAGAAGGGAAGAAGACCATGTTAAAGAGGACCGTTAGGTTCAATACTCAGAGATATGCACTACTGCTAGTGCCCTTCCTGACAGGGTGTTAGGGCAAACAAACCGATTAAATGAAAATAACTGATGTTGAAACCTGATGAATAGATGATGATACAACTGGCTAGACAGGAGGTTTCAAATAAAATTTCAACCTTGATCTCAAGAAGCACAGAACGGGTGAGAAGCAAAGATACGAAGGTGGGTCGTTAGCTGGCCGGGGTTTTCTCCCACCGCTTCGTCTTGGTTTTTTCTTTTCTCCTTTTCTCTTTCTCTCTTTTTATTTCTGTTACTATTTCCTGCTTCTTTTTATTTTGCCCATCCTTGAATCATTGAATGAGTTCTGAGTTCAGGTATGAGGGAGAGAACAATAAAAATTTCACCCTGCCCATCTGTTTAATTATGCTATATCTAATTTCATGCACTTCTATCGTGTTAATTTCTTTTAAAATGAAATCGATCAACTTAAATCTTGTCATTATTCCACACAAGGAAGTTCATCCAGGCCCACAATCTTGCTTCCTTTCCTTCACTTTTACAAAATAATTTTGGTGATCATACTCGTACGCTCAGTGTGGAATTACTAATAGAGATTGGAACAAATAAAAAAAACAAATCATGATTTTCTTCAAAATCACCAACTCGTAAAAAATTGGTCAGTTCTGATTGATTGAATGATTGATTGATTGATTGATTGATTGATTGCTATCCCGCTGTGGCTTTCACCCTTGTGCCCCTTGCTTGACCGTCAAAACTCAGAGCACACGAAGGCAAACAATCCCCTCTTTTAGACTGCTGCAACCAGGTGATCACTAAATCACCATTACTTCAGGAAGATAAAGATTCAGGTCCACACTTCAAAGTCTTTTTGATAGAACGTTTCTTTATTGATTACAGAAATTGAAATTGATTCATGAGTGTCTTCTTTAGCTAAATTTATTATTAACAACAACCTTCTCTTTGATAATACACTCCTAACTCTAATCACTCCTCAGTTTTCCCCAAACTGCCCACTCTATTCTTCTTCTCCCTTCTCTCACTCTACTCCCAACTCCTCTGACTGACCATCTCTCTCAGGCTCTGCCTCTTATCATTTTTCTCAGCTCCGCCTCTGATCAACCTGAATATGCCTGAACAATTTAATATAACAAAACATGAACCCTTGACATATTAAAGGGGAACCCTACACCCACCCATCTAGTCAATAGACTACTCTGGGCGTCAAGTATTGTAGTCTAATAATTCAATACGGAGAGCATTTTCCTGCAGCTGTTTCACTCTTCTGCTCCTGGTTTTGACTCAGGCAGTTTGTGTTGCTGCGTGCTTAGTGAGTGAGTGAGTGAGTAAGTGTTTCTTTCCACAGTGACAGTAAAGCATTGCTTCTAATATATTGACATTTCTTTCATAATTTGAAAGATTAGGAATTTGGGGAGGGCTTTCTTAAACTGGCTACATTTTAGTTCGCAGGAGAGAAACTGAATTCTGTTCCCTCTCTCTCCTACGTCTCGATTCGTTGTGGCTCGTTTCTGCCACTATGCCACCAAGGGAAGGAAAAAAAAATGCCTGCCTACCTGAGTGTCGCACCCCAATAATCCAGGGGGAGGAAGAAGAAACCCACTCACCAGCCAGTCACCCCACCCCTCGAACACCCCCCAAAGCC